GAATAAGTAAACACAATTTTGTTCAGATGGCACCACTGATTTTTGACATACGTGATAACGCCACCTCCCCGTCGGGAATGAGGAACAGGATGATCGACGCGATAGCTAGCGAATCCATCCAGGTGTATTATCTCATCCTCAATTTCATTGTGGAGCCAACTTTCTTGTAGCATGATCACACCTAGTTGGGCATATTCCCGTTGCTTGATTAAGCTGGTGAGATCGGTCATATTTCCGATAAGAGATCGAACGTTAGAACTGAGAATGATGGGAACACACAAGCGGGAGATGGTTTGTTTCCGAAGAGCAGCTTTCCAACCGGTTCGATGCTTCCTCGGATTTTTCGAAAGCTTTCTGAACGTTCGTTTGGTTTTATTCCTTATAGTCCTCCCAAAAGAGGTTGCCGCTGCACATTTGGTCAATTTGATGGAATGCATGAAATCCCGGATATTTGAGCAAATTTGTCACTACTGTATTAACACAACAGTTGCCTTGGCAACCAAGATAAAAGTTCATGCGAATGATGCAAAAAAAACTCAGTTATGGTTATCCAGTGAATAATCCGATGATGGAAAAACGGATAGCAATGCCAAAATTTGAAGGCCCCACTGGATACGTATACGAGGGCCGAGTGAAACGTTTTATTGGTTACAGAAAAATAGGCATTACATTTTCTCGAAGTATTCTCCACCAGCGTGTATGCATAGTTCCATGCGCTCCAATCATTCGGTGAAACAGTCAGGCCATGTCGAAGCGGGTAACTCTTCGACGAGTTCAACAAAGGAATCCAGTGCAGCTGTTGGTCACTCGAATCGGATTCCACGCATCATGCGCTTGACATGTGGGAACACAAAGAAGTCGCACGGAGCAAGGTCTGGACTGTAGAGTGGGCGACCGAACTCCTGGATACCAGAAAATCGTCGACGACATGGGACCTATGTTCAAGTGCGTTGTCATGGTGCAACAAGGTTCCGCGTGCTCGACTCCTTGGAAGATGCTTGGCAACAGCTTCGATCAATTTCGGCAGACAATGGGTGGCGTACCAGTCTCCGGTGACTGCTTCACTGTACGAACAGTACAGTAGCCACATGACCGGTTTTAATCATGAACACAACCACCATGTATTTCGCTACACTGCGCTCGCATTGGAATTTCCGAGGCGGCTCTCTCTCAACCGATGTCCACTGAGGCGACTGTTGCTTGGTCTCTGGGTCGAAAGTGCACATCCAGATTTCATCCCCACTGATGATATCTCAAGCTGCATTGAAAAGTCCGCCATCAAAATTGACAAGCCGGGTGCGGCACTAATTCGCCCGAACTGCTTTCTGCCCCTCACTAAGCTGATGGGTTATCCAGCGTGCGCAACAGTTTCTGAGGCCGAGCTTCGCGAGTAGAGTGGTGTGGATTGATTCCGATGGCTTTCATCAGCTGTGACAGTTACGCGTGCAATTTCCTCCATCATCGTATGCACAGCGACAATGCTGTCCATTGTGATGGCCGCTACAGGTTGAGCACACCGAGTTTTNATCACTCAAACAGTGCGCCTTAAAGTCGTGTCATCACCAAAGGTAGATGGTAAACGATTAACACTATGCTGCTGCTCCCGAACACATTTATGGACGTAGAAAATCATCGCCCTCCAGAAACATCGACTGATTTCCGGGATGTTTTCCTTTCCCTGGTAAACGCCTTATGGTGTGCGACCATTCAAATGAAGTAAGTGGCTTTCTTGAGGTGGACATTTCACTCTGTTGAGGATAAAAACTAAGAATAATGTGCATGTGTTGAAACAATCTCCGATTAATGTATGATTTTAGTTGTTACCTACATTTTACAAGTGTTTTGATCACTGGGTCAGGGACGGTGGTGACAACCACAACGGTTATGATCGAACAAACGCGACTCACCGGCTGGCTTGAACACACGATCCAAATGCACAGTAAATGTGGGCGTGGAGATTGATTCGCTTGATTCCAGTGTGGACCAGAATTCGATCGCATTGTCGGCATGAGCAGCGGTAAGCAGTGGACGAGACGGGTGCACAGCTAAAGCCCAAACCGCGCCTCGTGAACCTGAATTTAAGTTGAGCGCGAATGAGGTATGGGAGAAAAATCGATCTCAAACGACTACGCGTACAAATCGATAACAAACAATTGGGCACGAAGATAGCTGAAAAAATCTAGTTACGAAAGAGGAGCTCTATAAAGCTGAATTGCACGAAGGAAATAGGAACACTCTTGGTAAGTATGGGCTAAGGCGAGAGATGATAAAGAGTACTCGAGAATTTGTTGTTGATCGCCGTCTGATTAAGTTCAAGGTACTTAATAGATTCACTGCTGCCCTTCTGTTTCATTACTAGCTTTTATTCTGGGTGCAAATTCTAACACTTTGCTGGTCTCGTTTTAACAGCTCCTATATCGTTTTTGGTTGTTGTCTTCTGGATATGTTGCCGACCATACGTACATTATCATGCTACAAGCTTCACTTTAAAAAAAATTTATTCCACGATGAGCTGTTTGACACAGAATAGATTCAGACACGTGAAATATATAATAACAATAATGATATATCGGTGAAATCGACTTATCCTCATATAGATGGTTGCATAAAAGTAATTGGGCTAACGGTGTTGTATCCCCGAACAAGCTTTGCATGAGCGTATAACCGTATTACTGTTATTCAAAATGTCAGTGGCACTAACAATCAATCAAACCGATTCCGACGTCCCAACTAGAGGCCTAACACCACCAAGCTCTTCGACCGAGAATTTTATACCCTCGGGACGTCTTAATCTGAACATCTTTAATCTTCTGCCACCCGTTACCTGTACTGAAAAACATCGCAAGCTGAGGACAACTTCTCGGTGATTTGTATAATACTTGCCACCGGACGCTGCCTCGATTATCGAATAAGCCTCCCCTAACCTTATCATTGCTTGTCCGGTTACTCCACCAGAATCGTGCAATGTGGCATAGACAGCAGTGTTCAAGCACATTAAGTCTACCTTTATTTTGTTCCTGTGATGGCCAAGCCTGGGCACCGTATGGGAGAACTGGTCGAACTGCTACAGCACATGCTAGACTTGTCAGAGACAGTCGGATGTCGTGGCAGAAACACAGAAGTCTCAAGTTGACCAATTCCAAACGAGCCATCTATACGCATGCCGAATCCACTCCGAAATTGGACTACCGGGTGATATGTAGCTGTACAAATGGAAAAATGTAATTTTTCTACAGATTTCTCAATGGTAAAGTCGAGAACCGAGCCTGCGCAGTTCTGTACTATCTTACACTTTAAAGGTGCGAAACGGGTGCTCAGTATGGCTACACTAGCACTGAAACGATCCGGGAAAGCTTGCCACTAATTTAGATATTTAATTAGCGGTATAAGACCAGCTGCACACTTCAGATCAGACAGCCTGCCACCTGGGAGCTATTCGGTGGTAATATCCGTGTGAGAAAAGCTTTGTCTGATCCCTACCCATTGATCTCTCCGGTATGATCGGATCCGTGACTGTAAAAGTCATAAAGTTCAACTCACTGGGTTTCCCGAACATGCAGACCATCACACAACGTCAAAGTGCAGTCCTACTGGGATGACTAAGCTGATGTAGAAAATTACGAGGATCCCACCATCGTTGATGCGCAATCATCTGTCCCTATCCAGCCGGTTAGTCTTTTGGACCTCGATTATGCAGTTCAGGATTTCCCTAACCGTGGAACGAAACTGCAAACTGTAATAGTTATTTATGCGTAATATATATTCCAAATAGAGAATCCTAATCTTAACTAATTGAAACAACTAATTTTCGGCCGAAGCACTCAAAAACCTTAGGAATCGACAGTGAAGGACCTACAGTCAATGGATGTCTTTTACACGCAAAACACAACTGTTAGGCAGAAGTGATCGTATGGTGACACAAAAAAAGTGACCTTAAAAATTCAATGAAACGTCACACGGATGCCAAACATAATTCAGTTCGGCGAACGCCGCTCGAGCATTGTTATTGATGGCCAGAAGAACAAAAGTAATGTTCCTTCAGGTCAGTATTTAAATGAAAAAGGGACTAGGTTTGACTAAAGGATGATGCTGGTGGTAATACAACCAAACGCCTCTACTCATGTGAACAGTCACTGAGAAATACTACTTACTCACATCTGGTATGGGGTTCCCGGTTGACTTAAATCAAAATATCGATCAATTGGAAAAATATGGGAGGATAAAATTTCGAAAAACTGACCTCTCAGAACAGGTCCGTTTTCCTGTTCCAGATCATGCGGGGCATACAAGTCAATGACTCCAGTGGTGTTACATACAGCAGGCAAACGCCAAGCTCGCACGGTTCCATCCAGACCTCCCGTGTAAGCAGTTACGTTCGAAGATGCTGCCATGGCTGCACTTGGTGTGACCACACTCAGAACCGCACCATCGTGACCACAATATACATGAACAGGTTCTAACTCAGCCATAGGACTAGAAACCCCTCGACCAGCACCAGCTCTGCCTGGACCAGCACTCTGGAAATGAAGATTTTAAGTGCAACAGCAATGTGGACCAGTTAGATTTATATCAAGTTGTTACGGGGGGGGGGACAACGAAAGAGAATGATATTTAATTAAACTAAATTTACTGCGAGTAAACAATGAGTGACCCGCTCAAACAAATAAGCACCTTATCTCTTAGGTACTCAAAAATGTATTTCATGGAATATCAACCGGTAGGTAAGCTCTGTATTGTAACACCACTGTTACCAGAAACTGGACGCCATCTACAAAACTAGCGTTTGTGGTTATTTACCGAGGGTAACTAATCGTGAACAATACATTCATGAAGAGCGATCTGCTTGATGGAATTCATTTGCGTTGTGATGACAATTCTTGGAGATCAGTGGCTACGACCACCAGTGGAGGTGCACACACCATCACGTGTGACCCCAGGTAGCGGAGAGAAGAACACCCACTTGAATGATTTACCATAAATGGGTTTTAATTCACAATACTGTTTATCATACGAAAACTAAAAAACCTAGACGGGGATGAGATGAGATATCCACACTTTCCATTCGACATGCAGAAGTGAGACAGAGGGGAAAACTAAATGGATCTGGAAGTGAAACTACGATCGTGATTTGTACTGATTGGTGAAAATCGCTATGGACGTTGTGACAGGGTAAAGCCAAGTCCAAAGTGCAACTGAAAGTGATATCCAATGTGAGATATGGCAGGAGTCAAGAAAAATGTTCGTCATTAAATTACCGATAACGACGACCTACCGGCATAACAGAACCACTTTTAGACAGATTCCATAACATAACACAACCGTCTTCACCAGCCGTGTATAAAGCGCTCTCGGTGGGATGAAAAGCTACGCTGCGAATTCCGTCTAAATGACCGCGAAGCGTGTACCGCGCTTGCCAAGTTTGATGCCCAGAACTGGTTGTTGGACCAGTAGTCGTTCCCACCATGGAACCTGAACCTTCGTTCGTCATACCAGAATGACCCCCAGAAACATTGGGATCAAATTCACCGCGTGTGACACCGACAGCGTCACAGTTTTCTCCATCTAATTGGTGTGAGCACATGTAAAGAAACACGAGGGAGAAGGAAGTAAAAGAGGACAGATAGTCATGTGTTGACTGAGACAATATTGAAGCTGACCAGAGCAACAACCATCGTGGGTTGATATATTTTTGCATTTATGATGGAAACAGTAGAAATTTGAGCAATTGCGGTCCAAAGCAAAAGGAGCATGCTAGAAAACTAATGAAAATCAGATGTGAGGGACAGAAACTATACTGCTGATAAAACACATTCATCACATCTGACTCTTCGTTTTCTTTTATATATATATATATATATATATATCACAGGCTTGTGAGTAAGCTTGGTGCAAACGTAACAACAAGAATAACAGTGTGAGGGGTTCGGTTACACAGCAGAGAAGAAGGGAGTCAGAGACAATTGAGTGGAATGGAGAGGATAACAATCTGGTCATTTGTTTCTGTCACCGTAAACTTTTTGATATTTTTTGTGTGACTTCACCTGGAGTACCGATTGAGTAAGGGTCATTGGCATTCCTATCAGATGATTCATTAGGACGGAAACACTGCTCGGTAGAATTTTTAGTTGCGGTTCGGTTATCCGACGAATGACAATCGGCGAACACAACTCACAAGCCCGTCCACAAACACACCGTTCTGAACCGTTTGTGTGTGTCTGTGGCACGGTGAGCCGATTGCGTTGTGTCAACTTTTCGCTGCGTGTGAAAAACAAGTCATGGTTGTCAAACTTTGTAAGCAGGACTTGACGAACGATGACAAGACACATTTGGTTGGGATACATGCGTAAGGTCTGAGAGTTCGTTATATATGCAAAGAATTCAACCGTCTTATTCCAACAAGATGAACAGCAGACCGCTTCAACTGTGAACAGATGCACAGAACATTTTCTTCAGACGGGATCTGTTCAGAGTGGAACAAATGAGTCCAACCGGAAGCCAGTGAGGATGGAGTAGTTCAGAATTCAGGTAAAATGCATGCGTTTTCAGACGCCCAGTTACGCTGAGAGAACTAATAACACTACGTCATTCCTTTTTAGTGGGTGAACACAAAAATTAAGTCACCGCACTTTACACATATGATAATAAGTAATATGTGAATGACTGAACAAAATTTCCCTGGAAGCACTTGACCGATTTCGCGGTTCTTGCCGCTCGTCAGGCATGCGTACCCGGTAGTCTTTCGTCAATTCATTCATAGACTTGTACCCAGGAAGCATATTTTCGTCAAAATAACCTTGCTTGCAACACCGGGTGACTATTGTATAGATAGCTCTTTTAGAATAATTAATGTTATGATTCATTCACATACTACTTATTATCAAATATTCTACCAAGACCAACAGGTTACGTTTGTTGCGGTTAGTAGCATCTAGCCCACTTACAAAAACATCGAGTCATTGCACTGATTCATCAATGGACTGGCTCTGAAAGAGCTGTCTATCCAGAAGTCACCCGATTTTGCAAACAAGGTTATTGTGACGGAAATACACTTCCTGAGTACAAAATATGAGTGAACTGACAAAAGATTATCGGATGCACATGCCAGAATTTCGTCGGGAACCGCAAATCTGGTCTCTTTCTGTGTGTATCTATTTACCTGTCGCTGTAGGACAAGTTACATTGGCCGCACTGGCAGGCGTTCATCGGAATGAGTCCGTGAGCACTACCCGGTCTGGCTGAATAATGGAGTAATTATTACTGTCAACAGCTCGATCGTTTCACACCTAGTGGATTCAAACCAAGTAGTAAATGTGGCCGAGGGATTTCGACAGCCCTATTTAGTTTAGGATGTTTGGATGGGCTTGTGAGCTGTGATCACACATTACAATTTGGCACAGTTTCGTCGGATAAAAGTGCAACTGAACCGTTGTCGAAAAGTCTAACGATCAGCATGCTGTCCTCCTAGTGAATCATCTGGCACGTTCAAATCGTGCTCAGTATGCTACAAACACCCGCTTGAGGACAAGCATGGTGTCAACGAAACAATCAAATGAACTGTAGGATTAGACCCACATTACTGAAAGCAAAATGGGGAAAACAGATAACGTAGAACAGGAAGAACAAAACTATATTTGTTAGTTCGACCGGACGGATTTCAATATTTTTTGTCTACTAAGGAGAACGGGGTTTCAACAACAAAATGTACAACAATCGCCACTGACTGGTATCCTGAGCCACATCTCTCAGCATCTAAGCATCGGCAATCCTCATCCCACAGTCTGGAAGGCGAGCTGCATCAACCGAAGCCAATGCCGAGAATGACTTTCTCATACTGAGTCCCTATCTTCCCGATCGATTACCGATCGTCCAGTGACCATTATTCCGATCCCCAAATCCACGTCCTCAACTGTTCTTGCAAAACGGTTTCGTCCTATCGCGTTGACTTCAGCGGCTCAAAAGGTAACTGAAAAACCATCTTGAGTCGGTTGCAGTCAGACACCACAATTCCCCATGACCCCCTTCAGTTTGCATATAAACCAAACAGATCTGCATTGGACGCCGTATCCGCTCTAGTGCATTTTATCACCAAGTCATTGAACCATTCGGTCAAGTCTGTCCGTCGTGTTTTTCTTGACTATTCGTCTGCGTTTGATTCTGTTTACCGATCATCTCTTCTTTTCAAACTTGAATCTGTTGGCACTCCAAGACAACTGCTCTCATGGCTTGCCGACTATTTCACACAGAGGGCCCAGTGCACCAAATTAGGAAGGAGGGCATCAAAACCTCTTGTTAATAATCCTGGTGTTCTTCAAGGTGCTGTTCTATCTCCATATCTTTTTTCTGCCTTTATTAGTGATTCTTCTG